CCCGCCCTCTGTCTGGAACTTTTCGTTACTAAGGTCTGTCTGTAATTCGGGGGAGGGGGAAGTGAGGAGCTCGAAAACCTTGACTTAAAACTAACACTTACTATTTCCTTCGAAAAGTGTGCGAGTTCCGCAGAATAAACGATTTTCATTTTGATTTATCGATGGCTGTTTTACGTAGGAGATAATCTAAGAATGATAATTATGAATTTTTTGCGATGCAAAGGTGTCCGATTTGAAAGATTTTCGCGTAAAACTTCAAATATATTCATATGAGGACGAAGAAGGAGAAATAAAAACAACTGAAGGTAATATAAATGCTATATTCGTTTTTCTCGGTGGTTTCATAGAATAGCGGCACTACTAAAAGTTATTTGGGGTCAATACAATGGATTTTGAGATGAGCATTAGGAGAGACTATAGCATCTACGTGAGCCGACCAATCATTACCACAATAATTTTCTATTATAAAGCTTATCTATTTTAATGATTGTTAATTTAAAGAATATTAAGATCTTTGTGTAAAACAATGACAACTTGTATTCCTTTGTTTGATATTAATGTATTGGATATCGGACAGCAACAAAAATTTCATACTGTTTATAATGAATTAAAATCACATCATGCATCCTATCTCCAAGATAAACTTAATTTACAGCTGAAGAATAAGTTAGCTATTGACGAAGAAGAAAACGAATGGCGTTATCAATTGCACCGATATCTTCGTGCTAGAAAATGGAATATAAATCATACCGTTAAATCTATTCGCGAAATGATACAATGGCGAATAGACAATCGTGTTGACTTGATTCTGGAACATCAACCCACAATACTTCGAATGGATCTCCTTCGAAGAATGTTGCCGAACGCTATTCATGGCAGTACAAAAGCTCATCGACCGTTGTATATCGAAAAAACAGGTCGAATGCATGTAGACGAGGTATTGAATCAATTTACGTCAGAAGAACTGATCCAATGTCATGTCTATTGGCTTGAATTCATGTGTCAGTTAGCAAGAGAACGTAGTCGACAATTGGGCAAACATATAGAAACTTTTGCTATAATTTATGATTTACACGGCTGTAAATTGGAGATAAGAAAAACATTTCATATATTAAAACAAATCCTTTACATTGAGGACAACTATTATCCTGAACGTCTAGGACAGATGTTTGTTATGAATCCACCAAGAATTTTTCCTGTTCTTTGGGATTTAGCAAAACATTGGATTGATCCCGTAACAAAAACAAAAATTATGGTCCTTAAGAAAGGTCCTG